TGGGCCTGGTTAGTACTTGAATGGGAGACCACCGAGGAATACCAGGTGCTGTATGTGTTAAATAAAAAAGAAAGAAAAAAAAGAAAAAAAACCTGAAATTATATGAAAACTTGTGTGTAGGTGCACATGTGTATTTTCTGGGAGAGTCATAACTTTTAGCAAATTACTATGGAGATGGTTCATCTTTTCATGACCCAAAAAAAGTTTTAAAAAAACTAAAATAGAAAGCCAATATATTCGACAGGTAAACAGCACACTGATGACTTCGAATATTTTCAAAAGGTAAATATAACATCTGATGCTAGTAATGAACTATTGCCAGCTCAAATTTGAATAGTAGTACTTCTTATTTATGGATGTTGCTTTGGTACATATCTCTTTACAAGTATTTCCTCATTACAAATGGAGAATTTAAAGCATAACAAATAATAGTAATTTACTCCAGAGAAAAGTGATCAAAAGAGCCAGAATTCTTAATTCTCATAAGTATAATATGCACTTATTCCCTTCCTCTGTTTATCTGCCGCCAAAACTCAAATCGTTTGAGAGAAAACATAAAAGCAAGTCTGGATAATATATATTGAATCTGTTATCATTTTTTTATTTGGTTAGCTACAATGTGATTCATACCTAAGACAGACACTATATTGTACTAATGCAATAAAGTGAGAAAAGAGAAGTGAAACTGTTTTTCACTACTCAAAAGGCAACTAAACTATGAACTTCACTTTTAATCTTCCCATATGAGTCTCAAATAAATTTGTACTCTCTGTTATAACTATTAATTCATCTATATGTAAACTTTCCAAATGTTTATTCATTCATTTAACAAATATTTATTAAGTACCAGGCACTGTGGTAAGCTCTGGAGCCGCAAGCCCCCGGTTCACAGAGAATTCTAGCTATACAGATTATACTCTATAACTTGCAAATACCATTTGTAAAATATCTCTCTTTAATACTTCTAATTTCTATATTAGAATACTATGATATCTTTACAAACTGCATAACAGCCATGTGGCTCTTCAATCCATGGAGACTTAGATATGCCACTAAAGTCAAGTGAGAGTAACAACCACATATTATGTGTATGATGTTAGAGAAAAATATAACATCGCTATTAGTACTATTTAGACAAACACTCTCTCTTGACTTTGAAAGCTACCTTGATATCTAGTCTAAGCTAAAATTAGACTTAATTTTTCAAGTATTAAAACTATGTATAAAATTGTGCTTCCTAAACCCTCCTGAGATAATGCTTCAGTCTCGGTTTAGAGGTAAGGAATTCTAATGTTCAAACATGGAAAATATGCCTGTCCTCCCACCACAACCTATCAGATTTTTCTGTAAATTCCAAGCCATTAATTAGTACTGAGTTTTAAGATTTGACTTAGCTAAAGCCAAACGAAAAACAAATGACCGTTAATAAAATCAGAATTTAATAGATTATCTAATTTGAATTTCTCATTTTAAAGATAAAGAGACTAAGATCTAGAGAGGTTTACTGATATGTTGAAGGTCACAGAAGTTAATGACAGAGCTGTGGTTAGAGTTTTCTGACTCTCATTCCAGTGCTCTTTTTAGTACATAAAAGAAACTATTATAGGAAATTAAGCAGAAATTCTGAGAGAGAAAAATTACCTTTAATTACAAACATGAGCAAACCATAACTCAGATGCACTTAATAAGCTCTAAATTAAAATTATGCTTTATTAAAAAATAAAAAGTAAAGGAAGTCAAAGCTGAAAAATGATAGATCACTCTTCTGGGATATGGCCTTCATACAGGTCAATCCGGTTATAATCAACTTTAAGAGCCTGTTCCAATTATTTTTTAGTTCTGGAATTATTTCGTATTGAATAATGCCTGAAATTAGTAGGGAACTGGCTAAGGAGCAGAAATCTTTTTGATTTACAGAGATTTTTGTTGTAATGGGTTTTGACCAGGGAAGAGTAAATTAAAGCAAGACTTCAAACTTTCACCTTAATTTCCTGTATCTCCAATTTTGACCTCTTCTCTCCCTACTTGTACAAATAAGAACTAGAATTCCCCTTCCATTTCGTTTTTATTTTTTGAAATTTAGTTTGTTTCATTACTGTTGAACCTAACAATTTCTTCGACATTTCTATATTTCTATGAGTAAAATTCTGGTAAGAGAAATGGATGATAAAGATTTTATGAATATTCGTTGTAAAATATGTAAATACTAGAAGACAGACTTTCATAACACTTTAAAAAGTAAGTGGTGCTTGAATGGCTAAGGAATTATGGAATACTATTCTAGCCAATTCATTTATTAAATTAAAATAGGTTTGCAAGCCAGAAAGACATACTTTCTCTAGGCTTTCATCAGTGCTGAGTAAGAATAAAAGAAATGTGTTATATATTTATAGGACTA